GTGGACAAACCTTCATGCAAGTTCCAAGGTGCAAGACAGAATTCACATATATTATATATATAGTATACATATATATATATATACTATATACACACACACGTTCTGCGCAAAATACAGCATGTCGTGTGCCCTCGACTGTCACTCCAGCACATGTGTGTTTTGTATCTATGCGTATGCGAATTTGGCACACAAGATTCTCATCAAGTGATTTTGTTCCACAACTCGCAACTTCCTTTGATGAGATGCATGTGATGTGAGGTGCTGAAAGAACGTGGTCACAACACAGTATTGGCAAAGCTGTCAAGAAAGAATATCTTTAAAGCTTCTTCTTCTAATCAAAATCGTAATTCCGTATTCCCTTCCATGAAAACTGCTTTAACATCAGCTGCTTTCATAAGAGTTTAAGTGGTGTTGTCCACGGAGCCCAAGTTGATTCGATTCCTTTGATCATTGATCTGTACGAGGCCTGAATATCGATTCCTTTGATCTACACGGGGTCTGGGTATCTGATCAGTGCCAACTCCCCCCAGTTGAGGAGAATCCATCTTTGTAGGTTGAGGCAACATTTCTGTGGATCACAGCCAAGGAGCACGGTTTGGGCAATGCACCGCCAAGGTAACAGTTGCCGTAGCCACATAAAGCATTGCAAAGGCATTGAGCTTCACCTCCCTTCTAGTGCAAGAACTTGACAATTGCCAAGCCTCTGTGCAGCTGGACGACTAACAAACCTCTTCGTGCTGGACACTGAACACAACCTTCGCAACTCTGCAATGCGTGGCTTCACTTGGACTACAGAAGCCACCTGGATCAGAGCTGCATCTGCTGGTCCGTGGCACACGAAGGTAGCGATGATCCAACAGCTGCGGTCGCTTGGTGATATGATGTTTTCTACGGATATTACTGCTTGCTGTTCAGGAGAAAGCTCCAACCGTGCGGTGCTCGCCCAGCGTGGACGCACCAAGCGTCTTGAGAGTTCGATGCAAACCGGGTGCATTGACCGTTTACCAAGAAATGGATGAATCAATCTTCTTGTGAACCCAAGCGCGGCAGGAACTATGGTGCGAGACACGAGAAGAATTGGGATCAAAGAAATCGGAAGGCCACAGAATACAAGACTCATGCAGAAGTTGGAGACGGCCTTTCCTTTCTAAAAAGATGTATTGCAGTTGCCACAACACAAGGGATGGACATACTGAATCAATGCTCTAATAACAAACGGACATACTGAATGGATGCTCTAAACAACATCGCTCCTTACAAATGCATTGCTAGAAGAGACGCGGCTCGTGAAAGGAGTTCCGATGCTCCAGAGCATTGCTCAAAATCGTCCAACGATTGCACGGACTTCTGATCATTTTAGCTGAGGCTGCTTTGAATCGGGTCAACATGGGTCAACGTTCAATGCTGGACATTTGGCTCTGAGCGGCATCCTGCTGACGACGTACGACGAATTCAGCACGGAAAATCCAACATGAACATGTCCTTTTGCAAACTAGTAGCTTATTGTTTCTACGTTCGCTTCTTGTTACTACTAGTAAGGCACTTGTTACTAGAAGCGATGCACTTGTTACTAGTAGCGTCCTTTGCTTTCTGCATCATGGGACTTTGGGAAAGTTTCCAGAAGTCTGCACTAAAGCAGTTCGAGGCGCCATTTAAGCCCGAATGGGTCGGCTATTGCGCAGGTACCTTTGTTGTTTTTGTTGTCGGAGCTTTGTAATCCGTGATATTACTGCATGCTCTTCGCTCTGCTCTTGGCCAGCCCTGGTCCCTTCTTTCTTGGCCAGCGTTGTACCTCAGCCCTTTCCTCAACCAAAGCAAAGCATGTCAACCAGCAAACAATGCCTTGCCTTTTGTGGCAAACGAAGCTAGTCATAGTTTTCTTGGTAGTCTCTCATGGGTTGATATTTCATCACAGCTTGGCCTTTTAAGCTTAAGAAACGCCCTATTTCTGAGGCCAAGAAGACACCGTCTACGACATCTCTTGACGTCTTTGATGCGACTCGAACGATCCTCTCCCAGGCGCTCCATAGGTGCGTCCTCGGCTTTGCCGAGGGCCAAAGCAGCGTTTCTCGCACCAAGCCGCCCAACAGCCGCAGGAGCCACCAAGCTGCTGGAGCCACTCCGTTGTTGCTTTTCGGAGAAGCATGGGATTTGGGTGACCAGTATGGGATCACAGGGAGGACAAACATGACCCCTGTCGGCAGTGACCCCGGTCGACTCTTCCTCCTTTTCAAGTCAGTGATAATCCAAGAGGCCATCCCGTAAATGGCTGCAAGCGAATCAATGGGAAGTTTCTATGATCATCTCCAATGTGCATCTGGGCGTTGGGGGGTCACAAGCAACGCAGGTGTCAACCGCATAGGGGGTAGTGGCAAGGGAAGGTGACAAAATTGGGAAAAATCAATTCGATTGGATCTGGTGAGCTATGGCATGTGTATGTGTCACAGCTCGTCGAGCTTCGACAAAGCTGATTGAGCTTCGATGGTGCTCATTAGCGCTTATTGGAGCCTTAACCTTTCTCAAATCCACTCAAAATATTCTGGATTCTTTTGAATGCTTCTTGAATCTCCTCGATGCTCTGGATTGAGCAAAGAACATTCGCGAACCCCTCGTCTAGGAACCCCGTAGGAACTCCGTAGCTCTCAGCGACGCCAACTCAGCAAACGCCACAAGCAAGCCTTCTCGGCAGCCTTTGTCCTGGTCTCATTCAAAACCAGCAGACAAGCTTGGCCTAAGCCTTTCTTGATTCTCGAACCCATTTTTGAAGCTGCAAATGCTTTGAAGGAGAGCGTCATCCAATGCTTGCTACGCTGCGCAGATCGCTCCAAGATTTTGAGATGTGAAGTGCCAAGAGCCTACTGAAAGCCCTCCTTCCTTATCGACGGCCCAACTCGCTGCGAAACTTCGGGAACGGCGATGGGACCACTTCGTCCCTGGCCGCCCGTGTCGGCGTTCCGAACATGCGAACCCGGGCACATGCGACGGTGCACCGAAGGACATGTCGTGGCGACGTGTCACAAGGTGACATGGATAAGTGGTCAGACACCTCCAGCTTTGAATTTCTTCTCAAAGGATCAAATCTACAAAAAACAGTCAAAAGCCTGCGAGAAATCAAGCATGGCTGGCTTGGATTCCGGTCATCCTGGATCTCCAAATGAGCGTCTGCCAAAACGTCCTGTCAAGTAGAGGACATGATTCAGCAAGGTGCAGCAAGGTTATCGCTTTTAACAGGGCCTATCGCTTTTGCAGGTTTTAGCCACAATTTCGACATAGCTGAACATATCCAAAAACTGCGGAAATATGCTTATCGCTTTTGAAGGGGGCCTATGGCTTTGGGCCAAGATAGCCCAACTCCTGAAATGCACGACCGCACTTTGCTAAATTCGTCATTGCACGTTTTGGCGGTTGCTCAAGTGGAACTGCTCCTGACTCTTTAGCAGCACCCTTTCGCGAAGGCCGCGTAAACCAGGGACGCAGTCCACCAGCTGCACGTGCATCCGTCTCGTTGACGCCACGCTGCGGCGTCCGTTGCCGAAAAGTCTCGTTCCGGTTGGTTTTTGGATGCTTTTAGGGGGTTTGGGCTCACTGCAAGTTGTTACATTGGTTGTCTCTTCAAGGCAAGGTCTTACACCAATGATGTTCGCCTATAGAACCCAGTTCACCATCTAAGATCTTCGTCTCTATCAGAAGATTGCGCCTGAAGTCCACCTAAATCCAACAAGGAGACTTGCAATTACAATTTGTCTTACAATGTCTAAGGGAAGTGGAGAACGGTCAACCCAAAGAACAAATTCTTCCGGATGCATTGTATGGAGTCCGCCCACCAGGAGAGGTGCTCTACAAAGACACTGGAGCGGATCATCTCGCGGCACTGTTGGCACCGCGCCAAATGTTTGGAAAGAGTCGCTCCTTTCAGCAGTGTGGCCTTCATGCACAAGTCACAAGTCTGGGAAGACAAAAGGATGAATTTGCGGATGGCTTCGGGTCGCTCAGTCAAGGCTCAGTCTTGCGACCGATGCGTCGCCAAGACGCTGGTAGATGTCTAGCTATTCAGATCGGCAGAGCGGGGAGACAACTAGGCCTCGCTGGACTATGTCTATTTTCCCTATAGAAATAATGGTCCTCATTTGGATCTGATTTGGATCCTTCACAACATTAAAAGGCAACGGATTTGAGAGTGTTCAATGGTGCCCAGACTCAGGAATCTGTTGAAAGATTTGGACTCCTCAAAGGAATTTGGGTCATATACTTGCTTGCACGGGGGTATAATATACTATCTGTTTTGACTCCAGTCTTGACTAGAACCTGGCAGTCTCACAACCGCCACCACCGGCCGCATCACCACAGACCTCGCTCCGTCACCTGTCGATCCCACAGGGGATCCATCTCTCCGGGGAGTCCATGACCACCTCGAGAAAGCTTCGTTGGAGGTGCCCAAACCCGCCATATCGCGAACCTCCCTCTGCTCCTCTTACCCTATCGCGCCTCCCGACTGACTCGAATTCGCACATATGCTGCAGCCCTTGAGTTGCAGCTCGCCGGTGCAAGTTGCAAGCAGTCTCTGAGAGTGAACTCCATAGATGTATTCCTGCGAAAGATCCCTCCGGCTCACCTACAGAAACCTTGGAACAAGGACTTCTCCGCAGGCTCCTATCGCTATGCACCACATGAAGTCCATGCGAAGGCGTATTTGCGCAGCCAAGTCCCCTTCGGCGACCGGCTACGCGGGGCCAGGGGCGAATCGAAAGCGACTCAAACGAGGAATTGTCACACATCCAGGAATGACTCACACTTACCAGTGGGCAATCCTGCAGCTCATTGTGCTCTTCCAGGTCTGGCGGTCGAGAGTCGCTGTGCGGCGCGTGGCAGAGAACTTAGCATCTATCCATGACAATTCGACAAGCAAGGACCGCAAAAGTAGCGTTGCTAGGCAAGTCTTTTCTTACTCAATTCATCAGTGCACCTCTACGAAGCTGCACTATGAAAACTGGAAGCTAGCATGTAGGAATATTGGTAGCATATGTACAAAGCTTTTTACATAGACAACCGTCCAAAACGTTTGAACGCAGCTAGCGCAGATCTCGCTTCTGCTAGTGCAGATCTCGCTTCTGGCTTCCTTGGCTTCTTAGCCAAGTGTCAAAGTCTGCAGAACAGAATTGGAATCCAAAGATGAATGGTCCACATCGCCTGGCGGGCCATCTTCTGATGTTCCACTGCTTTTAGCTTCTTCAGTCTAAGACCCTCCGCCCGTCCCGTCAACCCGCAGCTTCAGCAGGGACCACGGACGCAGCGGGCAGCGGGACGAAACCCGAAATTAACGAAGCAGTGCGACCTGTGTCGAAGCAAGGCTTCGCCGGGTGAACACCCATTCCTAAGTTTCCAGTGTCAAACACTGCTTCGGGTCAGAAAAAGGTGTGGCATGGCCTTCACAGCATCAGTAAGCAACAGACTTCAGAGTGTTCAATGATGCCCAGACTCAGCAATCTGTTGAATGATTTTGGGTTCTTAAAGGAATTTGGGTTGCTTGCTTGAATGGGGGCAATACACTATCTGTTCGCTTCCATAAGACTGGAATGCAGGTCTTACTGCGAATGGGACACAACCCACTACTTACAAGGAAACTCACAAATCTGGTCAGCAAAAGAGTGCACAATCGCTTGTGGAACAC